GTAAATTGATTATCCTGGTCTTGTGCTTGAGAGCAAGATTACGACATCACCTTTTCTAATGCAAGTATCTGCCATTGTTGGAATTTTGCTGTATAGAATCTAAACTCTGATGCTGATGAACAAGCAAATTTGGCTGTCCGTCTTTCCGGTTAGACAACCTTTCCTTGCATTTGATAATATTAGATTAAAATGATACAGAAAGCTAACCAAACTAATCTACACTGCATTTATTATATACAGAAGGAGAAGTTGAAGTGGCGTGAAGGCTTTATGTGAAGAAAGATAGATTCTGGTTTGTTATTCCGCACCACATCCAAATCTGAATAGCCTGAGAAAGGTTTCGTTTTTCGTTAGAAAACAACAGATCTTGGGTTATAAAGTTTCTGTGTTTTCTTGCAGGGCCTAAACTAATAAGCCACTAGAAACTAGTGAAGAGCCAGAATATGAGCACAGGGAAGTCTCAGACAATGAATGCGAACATTGTCTGATCGCCGAGAAATTAGCAGAAACTAACTGATCATTTTGTCGTCTCTTTAGTTCAGTTTGATTTTACTCTAAGAAATATTACACGTCGTCTCTTGGAGTTTGTCGTCTCTTTAGTTCAGTTCAGTTTGAGTTTACACAAGAGATTCTTTTTGTAACCTTTGAAATACACGCGCGTGAAGTTTGAAACCGGCACGGTCTTTGTTTAGTTAAGTGGGCTTAGATTGGCATTCTTTAGGCCCAATAATATGGTCTTCAAGCCCATTGTTATTTGCTTTTAACCTTTCCCCGACTTGGAGCTCAAGCAAAGCACAGTTCTTCGTTGAAAGCCTCTAACTGTTTTCTTTTTCTTCTTTTTGAACCAAAAAAAAATGCAAAGAGGATTTCCAGAATGTTGACGAAGGCGCTTCGGATTTTGAAACCCAGGTCTATTCTGGGAAGTTCTCTCCTCCGTCGATCGGTTTGTGTCCCTACTCCGTCGCCGACGTTTTCTTCTTCCGCCGGAACTGTTTCCCGTACGACGGCTGATGCGGCGGAGATTGACGCCGATGATGCAATTGCTTACTCGGACCCAACTGAATCGGCGACTGCGATTCCGCTGATGATGTCCGGACATCTTCAGCCACGTGTCGTAGTGTACGACGGAGTCTGTCATCTTTGCCATGGAGGTACAATGCTTTACTGTTTCTCTCTTTAAGCGCAGAACAAATCCGTGATGGCTTTATTGATCGATTTTGACTATTAATCTGGTCTCGTTGACGATTTTGACGAAATGGGGAAAATACAGATTCGGAGTTTTTTTCCTCCTTAGCAATCGTATTTGTTAGCTTGAATTGGAATGATTGTTTGGGAAAATCTGAGTTCACTAAGAAGAATATATGCAGTTTCGTAATTTGGTTTCATTATCACATTGATTGACTTGGTCCAGAGATAGTGATAAAACGAAAATGGGAAAATGTAGGAATTATTCGTCTTGAAATTATGTTAACAGTGGCTGTAATCATTGTTGTAGATGATTTGAGTTCTCTAAAAGAAGGATTTTTGTTCATGTTTTTTGGGTATTTCCTCAATTGAAGTGTTAAGTTGTAGCTGAGTAGTTGTTTTCGATGTAGGTGTGAAGTGGATAATCAAAGCGGATAAGTACAGAAAGATAAAGTTCTGCTGCCTTCAGTCTAAAGCTGCTGAGCCATATTTAGCAGTGAGTGGAGTCACTAAGAAGGATGTTCAGAAGCGATTTCTCTTTATTGAAGGTCTCGGGTTGTACCATCAGGCATCAACAGGTATGTAAATATTCTTTTGATATGAGCTTCATAGTTAAAATAGTTTCGAAAGAATTAGATGAACATCTGCACTGCCAAATCCTACTGTCCTTTACGTTTGCCGAGAGATGAACTCGCTCTGTTTAAATATGCCCAGATGATATAGTTGCGGTAGATGGATTAGTCGTTCTAGTTAAGTATATATAAGCTTAATAGATGTTGAAGTGAATGAATCCGGCGGAGATGGTTGCATAATGACTGCTTATGTCCTACGTTGTTATATTCTTGAGTTCTTGTCTTGTGCTTGCGTGATGTCTGCTTATGTTGATGGATGTTACCGTATAAATGGGATTTCATGAGCTGTATGTTTTAAATTCGTAGATAAGTAACAGTACCATGGATTGATCTTTTGATTGTGCATCTCTATTGACTATGCAGCTGCACTTCGAGTGGTATCATACTTGCCTCTGCCTTATTCAGCATTGAACGCTTTCTCCATAGTTCCCACTCCTCTGAGAGACTCGGTGTACGACTATGTGGCGAAGCATCGTTATGAGTGGTTTGGAAAGGCTGAAGATTGCTTGGTTCTGAAAGACAAAGAGCTGCTGGAGCGGTTTATAGACCGAGATGAACTCGTTGATCGAAGCTAATGACGACCCTTAGACCGATTTAGAGTCTGCATATAAAGTAAAAAGGAATATTATTAGAGTTAAGGTTATTTACCACGAATCTATCAAAATGATCTTCTTTGAGACCCAGATTAGGTTTGTGTCAGGTTTCTGAACCGTGATCACAAAAGACTAACCTTCCAAAGCTAATCTTCGTTGCTTCTTCTAATTTCTGTCGGACAAATTGAAGTATCCAAACCTTTTTTTTTTGTTTTTGGACAACGAAGTATCCAAACCCTTGAAAAGTTTTGGCATTACAAAGACTCAAAATTAATAATTATTTTTGTTAGGATTTTTTGCTAACTTAATATCCAATCAAGCTAAGGGGATTTGGACAAAATAATCCAGGGCTCCATCTAGGTGAACCAAACAACTCTTACGCAACGAATATAAAGTTCTTTTTGAGCGAATTTTGATGGAAAAATATATTTTTTGAAAGTCTTTGCTAATAATTTCCAAGCGATCCTAGGGTTGTTCAAGAATCATTTCATACATTGTGTTAGATATCTCGGAAAAAAACATTTCGGCAACAAAGGATACGCCGTAAGACATGTGCTATGATAACAAGCTTAAAAACTAAAAATGTCATTTGCATGATTAATCATTGAAAATAAATTTTTGGAAGATGCAATAAAAATGTATAGTTAGTAGGATATTAGGCCAAATAACTATCAACCAATTTATAATTAGGTGTATGACAATATCAAAGCATTGGCTATGATATTCTTTGTATTATATATAATAATTACTAAAGTGGCTTTAATGACTAGGCAGCCATGCTCTTCAAAAGAGAAGAAATCGACAA